TGTTACTTTTGAGGTCAGGAATGTAGTATACATCAGCTAAGATCCTTCTTTCTCCGGTTTTGCTTACAAACAAGATTGATCCCTTCCCTTTTATGTCAATTCGTGAGTCGTCCCCAAATCGCACCTTTCCTGTGACCATCTCATTCATTTTACAGAACCAAGCTCGATGTCCTGTCATATGGTTACTGGCGCCATTGTCGAGATACCAAGCTTTGTCGGAACACGTCTCAAAAACTCTTGGCATCACATTCCTCTCATTCAAGTATACTACCTCATGCATCATAAGAGATTCGGCTTCTTGAGTGTCTTCTTCTTCCTTTTCTTGAAACTTGATTAACTTGAGAAGTCGATCAGGACAATTTGAGGCATAGTGCCCTGTTTTATCACATCGATAGCATGTTACCTTAGACTTATCTCTCTGTTGATAGCCCTGTTGATACCCGTAATCTCTGTTTTGATATCCAAACCTTCCACGGCCTCTTCCAAGGCGACCACGACCTCGTCCTCTTCCTCCATCTTGTGATTCTGAGTTCACAAACATGAGCTTACTCTGATCTTCTTGTGAATCTTCGTCTTCATCACAGACTCGGTCTTCGTAAGTTTTAAGCCTTCCTACAATGTCTTCAAAGGTTGTGTTCTTAAGATCTAGAACTTGTTCTAGAGCTGCAGTTATATGGATGTATTTCTTCCTAGGCAAACTCTTAAGAAACTTCTTAACAACCTTTGTCTCTTCAATGTTTTCCCCTAAGGATGCTGCTTTTGTAGAAATCTCCGAGATTCTCCCTGCAAAGTCGTCGATTGTGTCACTTTCTTTCATCTTCAGCCTATCGAACTCATTCATAAGCGTTTGTAACCTAGCTTCTTTCACTCGATCAGCTCCAAGGTTTCTGGCTTTGATGGCATCCCAGACACCTTTTGCGGTTTCATGTTCTCCAACTTGTAGGATCATCGACTCTGGTATAGATTGGAACAATAAAGCACGGGCCAAATCGTTCTTCTCTAAGTCAGCGGAACCGGGATCGATTGTTTCCCACGCCTTATGGACTCGGAGAGTTGCCTTCATCCTCATGGTCCAAACTGTGTAGTTGGAATTTGTTAACATCGGACATTGTATGGATGAGGATACTCCCTCCTTTGGTTTGTCACCCGTCGTGGCCAATTCACTCATATCTCTAACGATCTTTGTTCTTAATCACGTTTTGAGAAACAAAGTTTATAGGCTCTGATACCAAATCTAGAATCGAAAATTAAGATCAAGGATTATAAAAGCACTTCTTTTATTAACTTTAGAACTAACTCAAACTAAAGCTCTCCTTAATCTCTCACTCAAATCTCTTAAGGTTTACCACAAGCTTTGGCAACTCTTATATAGAAAAACACAAGACCTAATCCTAAACAAACTATGACTTGTTTTAGATAACTCCTAAAACTAATATCTATGGATAACTCCCAAAGATATGACATTATCTCTTAATAAAACAACTAACTTATCGCCCAAGTTACTTCTTCTTCAAGCTTACACCAACAGCATAACATGACGGTAGCTCGAGTAGATCCAATTGTTGTTCTCATCGACCAGAAAATATACGTCATGAGAGGTTGTGAGGATGATGAGTCTGCCAATTTGTTTGAGGTATTTGACATAAAGACTCAGATTTGGAGATCCTTGCCGAGTCCTGGTGCTGATCATGAGTTATGCACATATATTATGGTCTACCCAGTGCTTTTGAAGAAAAGCTTTACGTAGCTGCTGGGACAAAAGACTGAAGTTATGAGCCCAAAGATGGTACACGGAAAATCATAACAGAGGAACCGAGTATTAGAAATATTATGGATTGGCGTGTAATAGAGAATGTAATGTACTGTTGGACTTGCCCGGGATTTTTAAAGTGGTATGATTCTGAGGGTAGAGTGTGGAGAGAGATCAAGGGTTTGAATTGCGTGAGCAGTCTGAGCACCCTATAAGGGGTTTAAATTCAGGGGTATTGAATGCCACGTGTGAATCTGACAATTAAGGGTTTGAAAGAATTGCGTGAGCACCCTAATTAACTATAGTGGGAAACTTATAGTTATGTGGAGCCACAATATGTTCATATAATCATATATGAAGCTGCCTAGGCTTATATCCACTTGAAACTGCTCCCACAACTTCATTATGGCCTGAGTAATTCTCATTAGCTTGGTTTTAAGGATAGCCCGAATCATATCGAGGAGACTGAACATTTTGAGAGTTCATCTGAAAAACCTTTGAACCCGGTTGATGAGTCTGCTTTATTTTCTGTTGATGTTCATGTTAAACCACCATGTTTAATGTTTTCTCTAGGTCAAGCAACAGATCAAGCATAACAATCGATTCTTTGACATGTTCATAAAAATCACTGAGACCAAACAAAACTTAATCACACAGTTTCGTTCAAACAAATCCATCCATGTTTTTTTTATCTAATTCACAATCACAAGCACCACATTGACACACTGGAAAATCTTGTGCACTCTAAACTTCTTTCCAAATTGTTAATATTAAATATTCACTTAGGAGAGGTATTTATATACCCTAATCATATTTTATGTAGCCCTAATTTTTAGATGATGGCTATTTATAATAAAGGGTTTTGACTTTGACAAAATAAAAACTCAAATAAGCATGTTTATGAATTTTTCACTTTAAACAACCCTAATCATATTTTATAACCCTAATTTATCACTCTAAACTTCTAAACCCTAAACCCTAATTTTTCACTCTAAACTTCTTTCCAAATTGTTAATATTAAATATTCACTTAGGAGAGGTATTTATATACCCTAATCATATTTTATGTAGCCCTAATTTTTAGATGATGGCTATTTATAATAAAGGGTTTTGACTTTGACAAAATAAAAACTCAAATAAGCATGTTTATGAATTTTTCACTTTAAACAACCCTAATCATATTTTATAACCCTAATTTATCTATCTTTCATCTCCACCGCTTGCTTCTGCAATTTAGGACAATGATCTCCGAAGTCCAACTACTGAAGAAAGAGAAAACAATGTCGTTCTTGTCACTCCCGGATGAAATCATAGAGAATATTCTTGCACGCATCTCTAAATGGACTTACCCTAATCTCTCTCTCGTCTCCAAGAGATTCCTCTATTTCCTCTCTTCTCCTACTCTATACAAGACTCGATCTCACATCGGAACCACCGAACCATGCCTCTATTTCTTCTTAAAACTGCGTTATAATTCATCTGATCCCCAATGGTTTACTCTTTGGATGAAACCTGATGAAAACCTCACCAGTAACGGCGAGACTATGCATGACTATTCGTCGATTCCGCTACACTCTTCTTCCTATTCTTCACCCGTACCATATAAGTCCACCGTCGCCGTTGGTTCGGAAATCTACTTAATCGGTGGAATCCCGGAGGCTCCGTCTTCTTCTGTTCGGATCCTTGATTGTCGGATTCACACATGGCGTGACGGGCCAAACATGACGGTAGCTCGATCGGATCCAGTAGCAGTTTACCTCGATGAGAAAATATACGTCATAGGAGGTTGTGGGAATGATGAGTCTGCCAATTGGTTAGAGGTATTCGACATAAAGACTCAGACTTGGAGAGCTTTGCCTAGTCCTGGTACTGATCATGAGTTACGTTGCAAATATATTAAAGTCAACCCCAATGCTTTTAAAGGCAAGCTTTACGTAGCGGCAGAGACAAAAGACTACACTTACGAGCCCAAAGATGGTACATGGAATGTCGTAAGAGAGAAATCGATATTCAAAGATATAAGATATTGGTGTGTGATAGAGGATGTAATGTACTCTTGCACTTACGTTGGGTCTTTAATGTGGTATGACTCTGAGGGTAGAGAGTGGAGAGAGATAAAGGGTTTGGACGAATTTACTGTCTGCCTTACATCGTATTTAAAAAGGATGTATGTCCATGGAATAGTTAACTATGGTGGGAAACTTGTAGTTATGTGGAGGCAGTGGTATAATGAAGACGGCAAAGGACGGAAAATTAAAGTTGGGTTCTCTAAGATTGCGTTAGAGAAGCGCCATAAAGATGAGATTTGGGGTAAGACGGAGTGGGTTAATACTGTGCTTGAGATCCCCAACTCATATTACTCCTTAACTTGTGTAGGCGTGTAGCTGGAATTTGGAAGTTATAGGTAATGTTGAGTGGATTAATGTGTCTCGCGAGTCATAAAAATTCGTTGCATTGTCGTTCTTTTTAGCTTTGAACGTGTTATATATGTTGTTCTTTTTACATTGGTTATTGTGCTTTTTTTCATTTGAAGAATTTGACTTGCAAGTGAAGTTAATATTATAATCTTTAACAAAAAATAACTTATCACTGGAAGAGTCTGAATTGGAATTGCAAGAATGTATTATATAGGACACTAGATAGTCGTCTTTAAGAGATAGCCTCTATTTCTGCTTGGAATAGTTAGGTATGGTATCTGGAGCAAGACAGTGAAGAAGGTATAATGAAGTTGGGTTCTCTAAGATTGCGTTAGAGAAGCGCCATAAAGATGAGATTTGGGGTAAGACGGAGTGGGTTAATACTGTGTATGAGATCCCCAACTCATATTACACCTTAACTTGTGTAGACGTGTAGCCGAAATTTGGAAGTGAGGTTTTTGGTAATGTTGAGTGGGTTAATGTTATGCTTAATGTCTCTAGCGAATCATACAAATTCGTTGCATTCCTTAACCCTTTTAGTTTGATGACTCTAAGAGATGATGGTATGGTTAGTCTTACAAAATTCACCGCATTGTCGTTCTTTTTTTTTTTGCTTTGAACGTGTTGTTTTTGTTCTTGAATTTGAGACAAGCCCTCTTATATTGGTTTTTTTTTTTTAATGGTTTTTCATTTGATGAATTTGAATTGCAAGTGAAGTTACTATCATAATCTCAGTTTTTATTTATTAATCTTAACTTGGTCACTGAAATTGCAAAAAATGTAGAGGACACAAGATGATTCTCTTCAAAAATAGATACAAACATTTGTGATGCTTTAACACATACTATGAGTTTTGTCAGTTTCTTCAAGATTCTTTCACACTCGTGTCATTCTCATCCACGAATGTGAAGGTGAAGGAGCTAAAAGCAAAGAAGACCCTACAGATTCCAAATCTTGATGACGTGGATAAGCTATTGACATGCCACGTGGACATAGAAGCCCAAAAGGCTGATTTCTCTTATCATCTTCTTAATCTCTCTCTCTTTATACAACTTTACTCTCTCTGTTTCTTCTTCTAAATTTTTTCACAAAGTCTTTGAGAAAGCAAGAAACTTTACTCGGAGATTAGGGACAAAGAGATGTTGAAGAGTTCAAAGATCTGATCTTTGAGATAGATAATGGGAGAAATGACGGCGAGGTCTGCAGTTTTATCGTCGGGGATGTTCAGAAGTTACCACCGGCCGGTGACGACGGAGGTGAGATCAATAATACGGTCTAGAGTGAAGTGCCAAGTGTCATCCGTAAAACCCGCCACGTATTCATCAAAACTCTCAACAGATATTCCTCTACACGAGTCTCCTCAGGTCTCCTTCTCTAAAATTGTGTATATATCGATGCTTATTTTGGTGGGTTTGATTGTGAATTTTGTGGAATTTTTCAGGCTTTGTTCGATGAGTATTTGGAAGATAAGTCAAGATTATTCGAAGCAATGTTTCCGGATAAACCCAGAAGCTATAGGCTTAACGAGGTACTAAAAATGTTTGGAGGAAGTAATGTTGTCAAAAACGGGCATTTGGTCTAGTGGTATGATTCTCGCTTAGGGTGCGAGAGGTCCCGAGTTCATTTCTCGGAATGCCCCCATTTTTGTTTTTCCTTCTTTTTTTATTTTCTTGTCTTTTTAATTTGAATGAATTCTAATTTGTGTTTAGGAAGAATGGAGAATTCAGATGTTACCAATAAACTTTCTCTTCCTTACTGTGTGTCCTGTGGTGGATATGCGGTTAAGATGCAAATCCAACGGTCAAGATTATCCGCCAGATGTACCTTTAGATATAACCAAAGTTCTTGAGCTCAACATGGTAATCAACACACACATATGTCTCTTTCTTTGTTTCTTTAGCTTCAAATTTTTAACTAGGAGTAGGCACGAAGTAGATATTTACTTGCTTTTGAATTTTAGTATTTGTGATTTGCTCGGTTTCTAACGGATATCGTAGTAACGGATATTATGGATATTTTGTCCAACCATGTTTGTAAGTTGTAACAAAGTCTACATATTTGAAATTACGGTTTTTTCAGATGAGATGGAAGCTTAAAGGGCTTGATCGAGTAATGGAACCGTCTGATTTCAGTTTGGAAGTCAAAGGAGCATTGTACCCTGACCGAAGAGGAAAGCAAACAAGGCTCAGAGGTCAACTAGAGATGAACATAAGCTTTGTGCTTCCTCCGGTTCTTGAGTTGGTACCTGAAGATGTTCGGAGAAACTTGGCCAATGCGGTTAGAAATTGTTACATAAAACTCTATTGAAGTATCTTTGAACTCAATTTAGACGCTATGTGTCCGGCATTGTACATGATCTCTGTTTTTCTTTTGAACCTTTTACAGGTTTTGACCGGTTTAGTGGAGAATATGAAGCATAAGGTTAATGGGAGCTTGCTTGCTGATTATAGCAGGTTCAAGAATGAAAGAAAATTACAAAAAGTAATCGAGTAAACCCGATTTTTTTCGTCACTGTTCGAGTTCGACCATGTATAGAGTTTTCAATCCGTTCATATGTCAGGTGAAAAGGAGTCTCAAATTCTTTACGTGCAAAAACCTTAAACGTCAAGTATTTTGAAACAGAAAGAGTATTAGCTAGAGCTTCGTTCAAACCTTAAAACATCAAGTATTGGTACAGTTTCGTTCGGCTGGAAATGGTTAAAAAAAGATTGGACTCTCTAGACAAATTTGAAATTTGAGAGAGATAAAAAGATAAGGTCTAAGTTTTGTCAACCCTCTCTATGAAAGCGAGGGTTTTAGTTCCTTTCAACTTTGAATGTTGTCTGTCAGTCTCATCCACGACCGAATGCGTGAAAGACTGAGTAAGCAATACAGATTTCACGTCTTTGATGACATGTAACGTCTTTGATGACATGTAACGTCTTGTAATTACAACACGTGGACGTAGAGGACCAAATAAACAATATTCCAAAACTCTACCGTGACGATTTTAATCTCTCGGTCTCTTTCTCAATCTTTCACAAAAGTCTCAACGTATAGAGAGAAACCAAGACGCAATCTTTTAGTATAGATAGATTGAGAGATATAGATATGTGGGAAAGATCAAAGATCCAATCTTTGTGAAAATGGCGGTAAGTTCTGCGGTGTATTCGTGGCCTGCGATGCTAGGAAGTTTCCGGCCAGTGAGATCAAAACGGTGGAGAGTGCAGTGTCAGTTGTCACCTGTAAAACCTGCGAAGTATTCCTCTAAAATATCAACCGATATCGCTCTCCACGAGTCTCCTCAGGTCTTTATCTCATCCTATAATGGGGTATGTATATGTACACACATGAATGTTTTAATATCGAATATCCTGCCGATCTTTGCAGGCGTTGTTCGATGAGTATTTAGAGGACAAATCGAGGGTTTTCGAAGCAATGTTTCCGGATAAACCCAAAAACCATAGGCTTAATGAGGTACCATTCTATTTTTAATTTTTTCAGGCGATCCTCAAGACTTCTTTTCCTTACTTTTACTCTAAGGCAGGTGTTTAAAAGTGTTCCTATTTTATTTGACTATTTTTAGTGATTTGAAAATTTGAAAACCTTTTGAGTTATTCGACCATCGACTTTGAAAGTTTGATGATATTGGGATAACAAAATAAAATAGGGGAAACATTTCAATTGAATAAAACCACTAACACCAAACGTTAGAAACTAGTTATGTAAATTATTGGAATGTAACATCATTGTTCGTTGAATGTTTTGGTTTTCCTTAACTCATGTTTTTTTTTTTGAGGCTTTGTTACATACCGATGAAATTATTATGCAGGAAGAATGGAGAATCCAAATGTTACCAATAAAATTTTTCTTCATCACTGCGTGGCCAGTGGTGGTCATGCGGATTAGATGCAAATCCAACGGCCAGGATTACCCGTCAGACGTACCTCTACACACAACCAAAGTTCTTGAGCTCAACATGGTAATATCACCACATGAATTACAAATTCACTAGTCAGATTTTTGTTTCTTTTAACATTTGAATTATGATTTTCAGACGAAATGGGAGCTTCAAGGGCTTGACCGAGTAATGGAACCATCTGATTTCACTCTTGGAGTCAAAGGAGCATTGTACCCAGACCGACGTGGAAGACAAACAAGGCTCAAAGGTCGACTAGAAACGAGCATTAGCTTCGTGCTTCCTTCAGTTCTCGCACTTGTACCAGAAGATGTTAGGAGAAACATGGCCAATGCGGTAAGAAACTGTTTCGTATATGCATTTGGAAACTCAAAATGCTATGTTCCGGGTTTATACATGATTTTTTGTGTTTTTGATTGACCCTTTACAGATTTTGGCCAGTTTGGTGGAGAACATGAAGCACAAGGTTATAGAGAGCTTGGTCGCTGATTATAGCAAATTCAAATATGAAAGAAAAACACACAACTAGTAATTGATATCGATTGTCATGTATAGTTCTAGATCCAATATATGAACAATCGGGCGAGATGTAGACCTCGATTGTTTGAAATAATTGAGGCTTTTAATCTCAATGTTTAACCATGTATCGTTCTGGATTCGATATGAACAATATACACAATATACGTGACACAGGCCGAAGCTTTACTTGCTTAATGTATGTATAGTCAAATTTAGAATACAAAGGTGGCAAAGACAAATTTTCACACAGAAAGAAGAAAGAAGATAAATCAAAGATTCACAAACGAACACAACAGTTCTTTGATTTGGTCGGACTTAGTTACAGAGGCTTACTTGGCGAGTTTGAAGTACAAGATGACGATAATGGCGGCAATCAAAGCAGTGATAATAGCTCCAATTGTCCATTTGTTCTTGTTCATCCTCCTCGTCATGCCTGTCAATATCTTCTTGCTTTTTCCAACGTTATCATCTACTCCATGCAACTGTCGAGAGAGTTCTAAATTCTGGTTAACGCGATTTCCAGAGTAGATAAAGAAAACAAGAAAACGTAGTCTTCTCATCTTATTTTGTTACTTAGGTTTAGAATACCGTTTCATGGGCTCGTAGGAGAGACTGTCTCTGACTGTGCAAGTCTTGGAGGATTGAAACACCAATCTCTTCAGTCTCCATCATCGTTCTACGGCTGTCCTTGACTCTGTCAGTGGTTCGGCCCAGACGCTCAGTTGACATCATCAATCTTGATCTTTGATCAGCCGAAGCCTGACCTCAATGGTGTATCAATAAAAAGAAACCAAAAGTTGTTTTACTTGCAAAGATTGACATGAGATTAAATTGAAACAATACTACAGAGTCCTTTACATACCGTCTTTGTGTCAGCCATACCAGCTTCTAGCAACTCATCTCGAGCAGCAGCGTTCAACTGTCCAGATGTGATTCTCTTCACTTCAGTTTTAAAATTGTTCAGATCAGACTTGAATTCTCTTAATTTGACAAGGAGGCTGGACTTAAGGTTTGGTGGAAGGCTCCTTGCCTCAAGATCCATTTTCCTAATCTGGTGTTAAAAAGAAAAAAAAAACCATCATCGAAATGCAAATGGACAATAAAGAAACTTCTATATTCCATTCAAGTTATGCCTATCACATACCAATACTTCTGCATTTTCCAGGCCAGATTTGATTTCAGACAACTTCTGCTTCTTTTGTTCTGCAAATCAGTAAGGTATCATCAATCCATTTTTAGCTATGCAATCAACAGAACATACTAATCCAGGGAATAAAAAACAATGCCAATGATCAGCCACCACTACTAAATCACAAGCTCTCTTCTCAATCAGTGACCAAAGAAAGCAAAGGAAAGGCACATTACTATGTCCTAGCAACGCATGAAGGAGACAAGATTTTAAAAAGTCATGAAAGGATCTAAAACACACAGAACTAAAGCATCAAACACAAACCAAAGTATCTATGATTCGTACATTGTTACATTCACGAGCTAAACCAGTAGGTTGTTTCAAATCAACTCTTTTTTTTTTTTATTTCTTTAAAACTCTCTGAGGAACCTAATGCAAATGCATGTGGAGTAAAAGTATCATATCTTAGAAAAGATTCGAGAGATATCAGTTTTACCTCCATCAAGCGCAACAGCAGAGGAACACTTCTTTGAAAGACTCGCAGAGAGCTCACAGTATTGCCGCTCATATCCATCAAATGCTTCACTCATTGTTTCAGGAGGAATACTACTACAAACTCTGCAGAATCAGCAACACACAATGATGATGAACAAAACAAATTAAAAACCCAATTCTGATTAAGATCAAATTCATCAACAAGAATAGGTTACTGAAATTCTTACAAAGATTCAAAAGAGAAAACTAAAATCGATTGATTGATTTCTAAAACAATCCAAAACCCTAAGATATTGTGAATTCAGAGGAATGTCAACACGCGGTTTACGGGGAAAAAGGAGAAAAGTAAAATTGACGGATCAAAAGAGAAAAATAATGATGAATAATTGACGAAAATTCCGGTGATCGGAAGAAATGGAAGAGTTTAGCCGGCACAGAAGCGATTGAAGCACAAAATTAGAAAGCAAAATCACAATCAGAAAATAGGGACTAGGCGAAAAAATAAACATGAGGTAGGTTAAGACCTGATAAACGAACGGGGAAGGAGAGGTACGTCGGAGAAGGTCAATCGATCGGAGGAGGTCCGGTGAAGAAAGTTGTGGAAGACGACGATGAATTGATTTGATATGAATGTTCGACGGTTGAGTAATTATATCCTACATCTACAAATACTTTTCTTCGTACACCCCACCACCTGTCTTTTTTTTTTTGTCTAATAAATTATTATTTGAAAATACTTTGATGTCTCTCTCTATTTACCTAGAGTTGGGTCTTTAGGTGGCTTTGGTTGGATCTAGGAAGGTCCGTGTGTAAGGATGGGTGGTCTTATTTGGCGTTTCCCCTCTCGGATTCCAAGGATCTTCCTTGATCCTTCACCTTCTCATTTTCATTGGCACTAAAATGGTCGTGGTGGTTAGGTTCTGTATTCTGATCTTCTTGTTTCGTTGTCTTCGTTTCTACTATGGAGGTGGTTGTGTAAGCTCGGACTTGTTCGCTTCTCGGACCTCAGTTTGTCTGATGGCAATCTAATTTTGGGTTCTTTCCGAGGCTCCTGTCAGTAACCTCTTTTCAGCTCTAAAGTGTTTTATGGGTGTGTTAGCCGGCTGCTTGTTGGGAAGAGTTTGCAGTGTGTTTGTTTTGGAGTCTTTAGCTTTTTTACTTAGTTGTTTCCATGTAATCGTTTTTCTAAAGTTTTTGCTATTAATTCGCCTTTTTGGACTTTAGTTTCTGGGGGTTTCTATGTACCCGCCTGCCGGCTTTGTCTCCGAAAAGATTTCAATCTTTGTCGTCTCGATATAATTCAACCGTATTCTATCAATGATATCTTTAGACAAAAAAAAAAGAGTTGGGTGTGCTTCACAATAAGCCCTCGGTTTGTCTTAAGCCTCTGTATAAACGGTGTACGTAGGCCTAGGCAAATAAACCGAACCGAATGTACCGAATCGAAACCGAAGCAAAAAAGACCGAACCGAACCGAACCGAAAATTTAAAAATAACCGAATAGATACTAAATTCTATAACCGAAATAACCGTAACCGAATCGGTACCGAACCGAAATACCCGAAATACAATTATATTTTCAAAATAATTAGTTATTTATAAACCAAATAATCAAAAATACTTGAAAAATATATAAAAATAGTAAAAAATACTCGAAAATAACCGAAACATATCCAAAAATACTCAAAAATAACCGAAATATCCGAAAATATCCTAAGCAAATAACCGAATGGATACTAAATTTTAAAACCGAAAGAACCAGAACCGAACCGAAATTTCAAAATATCCGAATGGATACTAAATTTTGAAACCGAAAGAACCGAAACCGAATAGACCCAACCGATAACCGAACGGTTAACCGAAAGCCCAGACCTAGGTGTACGCCCAACAATTTCCAAATCGCCTCCAAATATATTTCCAATCAAACCCATACTTTCAACGCGACATTCCATAAAAAACCCCCAAAAGTTCCAGACTCCAAAGTATTATATAATCCCATATATTAAAAACAAAAAAGCTATACTGCAAAAAAAATTTCGATATTCTTGAATATGCTTTTTCATCTGTATAGAACAAATTTTCTCTATTCCACCACCGTCTCTCAGGCCTCGTTTTCCGGTACCGGAGAATCCTCAGGCTTTGCGTTTCGTCTCTGAAACTGATCGAGCTCCTCTTGTGGGAATACTTCAGATTGCAGAGAAGGAGAAATCTTCTTAACGTGAAGCCACGTTAGTTGCCAGAAACTGTCACTTCCGATATCATCACCTGGTAATAAAACTCCCGTCGCCTTCATTACCAGCAATGTGTTCTTGAGCAGTTCAGGGATGAGTTCATGGACTTTCTCGCTGCGTTTTCCTCTGAATTCAGTTGACATGTAAGTTTCCAAACGGTTTAAGACACCAACCCAAAGTCTGCAGAAAGACGGTTGCTGTGAGATATCTTGAAGAGATTGAAGAAAAGCTTTTGACATGAGCTTTGTGGCGAGAACAAGCGTTTCTTCAACTGTTTTCTTGAAATTCTTCCTTGAATTCTCGATCGCAAAAGCGAGCGATTTGTCTAGCAATGGGAAGACTGCGGAATCAAAGCACTGGAACCATATAGGTTGTGGTAACATGATCCCGTCTGCACCAGCTATAGCTCGTTGCAGCATCAAAATTGCATGGTTTCTCACTTGGTCGCGTTGATCATAACATACTATTTGGAGCTTGTTCACAAGTGCGAGCCACATTTCTCCAATATCTTCACTTAGTTTCATCATGGCATCAGTTTCACCAATCGAGTTTTTCGCCTCTTGAGACCATCTTGCAAGACAAAACACAGAGTTTGACATTAAGTCAATTGCTGAGATGGACCGATCGATTTCACCAACTCGGGATATAGCAAAGTTCTTAGCTGCATCCAAACAGAGCTCGTAGTTTGATGGTAACAAGTGAGCTCCTTCTGACATTATAAACCGGAGGGCTTCGAATCCCGCATCAGAAGCTTCTGGATGCCGAGCTGTGATTGATAGCAGAGATATGATCGTTCGCCAACCAGTATGGGATCTAATGTGAGATGCGTTTGCTTTTACAAGATGGACAACTTCTTGTGTAATGCGTTCGCAGTATGCATCAGCCACTCTTGGTTTAAGCTTGAGAACCAGTTGGAGTGATTTCAGAAGTTCATCTGTTAGATTTTCCTTGTATGGTAATAATCTCTGGCAAATCTTCAGTACACCAAAAACAGCCTTTTCAACAAGCGTGCATGGTGTTAATGTTGGTTGTACTATACCCAAGATATGCTCATAAACAGTTTGCCAAATCAGTAGGATTCTGTCTCGGTTGTTCAGAGTTACTGCAATTAGAAGCTCCAGGCAAAAGACTGAACTAGCTTCATCTTTCCCGGATGCTTTTATAAGAGAGTTAACAAGCTGCTGCAGAGACTCAGCTTGGAGAAACTTGCTGTCTGAGAATATGCTATCAATATGACAATCTTTCACTATCCCACGAGCATGTTTATAAGCTGCCAGTTCTTCCTCGGTTGGTAATGGCTTTGTCTCCTCAGAATCAAAAGACATGAGAAACCGACCAATAAAACTAGATGATTTTCGAGGCGTCGCTGAGGGTTGTGACTGTGATATGACTGGCAGGGGATTTGCCGAAGGTTTTTCTTGCTCCAAGCTACTAGTTGACAGCTCTGGGTCATCCGCTGCATCACTAGCTATATGATCTGGTAAAATGTGGAGTTTATTGAGGCTCAAGACACATTCCAATATGTTTTTCCAGCCCGAACTAATATAGTCACCATATTTATTTGCAATCAAGAAAACAGCTTCAGTAGCCATTCTGGCTCTGGCATCTTCTCCTAGAGCAAGAACAGCTTCATCAGCAGATAATGGGGCGAAGAAGGGTGTGAATTTGCAGAGAGACACAACCAGATCATCCAAAACACTATTCAAATGATAATATGCTGAAAGTTTTGCAATGGCCAATAACCCATCAATACATCTCTGCAAAACATCTTCTTGCTCTGTTTGCTCAAAAACCACTGATGTAGCAGCAATAGTGGGACCAGACACGATATAAAACATGTCACGGTCCAGATGGGATGCAGTGTCACATTGGATATAGGGACTGGTTTCTTTGGATTTGTAAATCACACTAATCCAACGACTGGCTGTCATCAGTTGGAAGCCGGTTCCCTCATCTGGGTTCATCTCAATCTCAATCTGACTGTGGCGGATTGAATGATAAATCTCAGATAGGTACTCTCTAGGAAGGTCTGCGCCTCCATTTATTGTCCTGTTGTTACGGATGAAATCTTCTTCAGTCATCCTTGTCCTCACCTGGGCGTTGTGCTGATCTGTGTTCAGCAAGATAATCGAGTAAGCTAACACAAAGGCAGCATCTTTATCAATCAGTATATGTGGTGACTGCTCATAGTATCTCTCAGAAAACGCCTCCAGCACCCTCTGTATCTTCTGTGCCTCGCCAGGCAATCTAAATGTACCGACAAAGAGACGCAGGGCGGTAGCAAGATTCATGTTCTGGAAGTCAAACGTCTTGGCAAACTCATGAAGCACCTGAATACAGAACTGGTCATGATTTCCAAGGAAATCTCCTATAAGATTCTTATCTAACCCACATGTATACCTGAAGAAACATGCCACACTCTTTGGATCAAGTTCCTCGGGCAACAAGTGCATCCCTTGAAGATACTGTAAGCCTTTTTTAGGATCACGGTTAAAATGATCAGCCCCAAGCATCAACTTTTTCTTTATATGCTTTGCCTTTCGGACAAAGGGAACCCAAAAATTAGGATCTCCGTAATTCTCACATCTCACTGTCCAGAATTCTTCATATCTTTCTTCATGTGTAGGAACATCTGAAGCCGGAAATTCTTCACCCACTCTCTCAGCCATTCCCTGAACCATAGAAATTAACCCATCCAATGCAAGTATATGCATAGCAGATATAGGCCCATTAACTGGGAAGGCACTCTTTGATAGCAGGTTTGAAACATCTTCAAACACATTACTGTAGGTTATATCACAATCGAAATTTGCAAACATTTCAGCTATGAAAGTATGTTGTCTGCAAAGATCAACCAGAGCCTCCATAGCCACCTCCTGTTGCTGATAAGAAGAGCCATGTTTGCTCTGTGCAATCCTCAGAAGTACATATGAAAAGAAAGCTTCAAGCTGTACCTTAAGCTCAGTACGGAGATTCAGGTAGAGATTAAGAACGATGCTGCAAACTGTAGAAAGAATCAGAGGGCTCATGGACATACCAAACTGCATCAAGTTACAGAATAACTCATCCTGAATCAAAGTCAACAGCTTTGGGTGGTCACGGAAAAAAGGCCCTCCAAGTTCTATAGCAGAATTAATTAAACCCAGAGCGAAAAGAGGAACATCTTCATCAAACGCTATTGGGTTGGATCTGGAATTGACTTCACCGTTTTCTCCAACATTCAACAGCGTACACAAGAAATGAAAAATCTCTACCATGCATGGAATACCAAAAGGCGCCATCATTGCATTTTCACCATTTGCATCAGCATTCAAGTCATCGCTGACCTCAGTTTTCTTTTCATCATTTCGAAGTTCTGTTTCTGGAATAACCATCTCAGAACTTGGAGAATCTTTGTCAGTGCCGAGAGTATCAGATACACTAGCAATATTTCCATTTTCAACCCTTTTTTCTCCAGAATTCTGATCCCAGTCCACTATTCCCACCTACACAAGAAAGAACAGCGTTAGAACTTTGTGAACAACAAACTGTCTTGTCAAGATGGTGAATACAGTACACCTTAAAACTTAGTCATCTGCATAAGTTTTAAGATGAGCAATCCTTTTATCAATCAACATGCTTAGCAGAACGTAATACAATTTTGTGCCTGTTGAATCTTCCATCTATAGGGGATAAACATGTATAACAAACAAAAAAAAATGTTGGCAGGAAAGATTAATTTGATATACCTTATCGTGGACATGTAATTCACTTTCATTAGCCAAGGGGCTGATAAAAGGAAGTTGAGAGAAGATACATCTAATCAACTCATGCATTGTGTGGCGAGCTATACGCTGCAACAATTCACTTTTGGAGCTTGATTGATGAACAACGCGCAAACAAGTGTTGACGATGGTGCAAATGTCTTGATTACTCAATCCATTAGACGCCTTACTCTTTACGCAAGCCAGCAGAACTTGAAGTATCTTCATCAGAACCACTTCCTCTGAGGCTGGATCAGTAACCTCAAAACGACAGCTTTTTACAGCATCAACTATGATATGCATTGCCTCTCCCACATTCACGGTTTCAAGGGTAAAAATCTCAAGAGTTAAGATCTTGTAAACGGATGACAAAGCAACGCCAGTAATTGGAGCACCAGTTTCATCAGACAATATAACATCCAAAAAGGGCTGTATGTACAATCTAGGGTCAACATATTGCCAATTGCTTTGCCATGAAAATATCTGCTTACGCAATTCTTTCAAAGAATGGATAAGAGAATGCTCTAACTGATCATCATCTGCAATATAACGAACACCCCACCGTACATTTCTCCTCATCACAGCCAAAACTGCACCAATTTCAGAATTAATCATGGATGCCACCGCACCCTTAGACGGTTTGGAGTGACATCTCTTGAACTCTCCATGGAACGAGTTACTTCCCGAAGGATGATTCTGATACCCCATACTCGTCCCAACTTCTTGTCTCAAACACAAGAACACACTCCAAGCATGCAGGCTGCAATAGTCAAAGCTCTTTCAGTAATCATGATATTCCTCCTACTTTTGCTACTCACAAATCATTTCAATTTCGCCAAATTCGGATATATACAGTAACTTTTCCGATCTATGTAACATCATTGGTTCAGAATTCTCAGTGACTAAACCTAAACTAAGTAACACAAATTCAGATCTAACTGAGTTCATTAGAGGAATAGCAAAAAAATCAGCAAAAACCACGAAAACTTGAGAGCTAATCACAGTTCTAGAGGGAGATTTTGAAAACGAGAAGCTTAAGAGGAAGTGGATCGAGACAAGTTCAGTGTACCTGGCTGCAGATCACGACGGAGGTACTACAAAAATGGCGGAGTTATTGCAGGAGAGATCGGGATCGAAGGAGATCCAAATTTTGCCCAGCTTCTACTATGAGAGACAATAGTGATAGAGAAATGGTGAACGGAGAAGAAGCTCTTACTGGAAGAGACAATGGTGAAGGCTCGAGGATGTGGTAGAGTGATGAGAGCTTGATTTCAAAACTCAATTGAGAATCAGATCTTTGTTCTCGTGAGTCAGAAGAAACACATCAAACGTGGATCCTTCTCTGCAATTGGCTCTGTAAATGGAGATCGGAGAAGCATCGGATGTGTTCTCTGAGGGAGATGATCGAAGTTGTGAAAGATGAAAGCGGAAGCTCTGAGATGGGCCGTAATTTGGGCTTATATTTTGTTAGGGATTCTAAGAATCATGGGTCAAAATCGGTCAAGATTCATGAATCAACCCAATTCAATTCAACCCATAAATTCTAATGAGTTGAAAATTTTGACTCAAATGAGTTGATGGATCAAATGAGTTATTGAGCCAAATAGACTGATGGATCAAATGAGCTGGGTTGTAATGGGTCAATGGTTTAAATGGTTTATCCATTTAACCCATCAATTTTTGTTAAATTGAATCAAACCAATTCAAATCTCTAAATCGACTTTAATTTGAATCCAACCAAAACTTCTAAACCGATTGAATATAGTTCTTAATTTTCCCACCAAAAATGTGAATACACAATTTTCCTATCAACCCATCATATGGAACCTCCAACTGAACAGAGTCAATCTTTGACTGTTGATCATCTTATCTGCCCAATAACAAAGACCTAAAATAGAGAGAAAATCAGACTTTTGCTCCAGCCTATGAAGATGAGATTTTAGCTATCAAAACCATGACCAATGATACGTAAAACCCGTTCAACATCCTCTTCAATTATAAACAAATATTAAACTCTATAAAAAATCTCCCACGATCATAATTTGGAAACCACTTGAGAAATTATATTTAATCAAATGGTTAAATATGCATTTCTATGGTTTTGTTCTTTCATAGTTCGACGCCATGTATTCGTATTATAAGGTTTAAATGGCCTCTAAAAAGTTTATTCAAAAAAAAATCCCACAATCATAATATTGAAATTCACTTACGGAAGAATTCCTCACATCGTCGACTTTTTGCCTTTCTTCTTATGTTGAACATTTCAACTTTTTTCCTTGTGTAATCTGAAAACCATCGTGTTCTGTTTTCATTTTGATAGGTTATTGTAAAGTTTGATTCTAAACTATCTGATTCAAACCTAAACGACAATCCAAAGGCTGCGTTTCTTGTTTGGTAAGGCTGTTACGTTACTAGTTTAAGTACTGTTAAATTTGATTTCTAAGTATCATCAAATCCCTCAGTTGTTACCGTTGAATACGTTTCGTTTCTAAATCTTTTTGTTTTTGTATGTGTGGGTTTAGCTTTGGTGGTTTTGTAGCGAATTGGACTCGTAGTACATGATGAACACGGAATCATTTGGTGCTTGCTTGCTTCTTACGCTTCCAGAAGATGTGTTTACTGTTATCTCTCGTTTTCTTTCACCAAGCGACATTTGCAATCTAATCTTGTGCGGCAAAAGTCTTTGTGCCCTTGTCGATTCCGAGAAGACGTGGCTTGTGCAATGTGAAGAAGTAAAGGTTCTTCCTTTGTTTGAAATAGTCCAATGGCGAAGCGGGATCTCTTCTTACAAGGCACTTTGTAGGTTTCTTGTAGAGGTGGTGAAGCCTCTTGTTGGGATTTGGGTTCAACAAAACCCTGAACTTGGGAATGTCGTTTATGTCATGCCTGGTTTCTTGTCTGTTGTTGGGTGCCGGATAATTCCACAAAAGGTTGGTCCTTTGTGGATTCAAGAGGGCCGAGTTAAGTGGTCACCTGTGTTTGAGATAATCTGCGGTTTTGATGGCTCTACCGGGTTTTTCCTTCATGGAAGAGACAAAGAAGGCAGTTGCTTGTACCCTGGTTTTGTTATGGGCATTGAGAAGAGTTGCAATTTGCTTCAACTCGAAATTGAGCCGAGGCGAGAGAAGAGTTCGTGCAATGAGATTGAGAGAGGAGCCTCAAGAAAGGGGGAAAAGGAGGGAGAGGTTCCATTTTGGATGCTCGCTTTTAGCGATAGAAAAAACTTACTCAATATTGTGACAAGCCATGTAGGTATACATGTGGTGGAGCCATTAAATGGAAGGTTATTTCCCACATCAAAAGATGATGAAGCAATGTTGGTCGAACGCAGAACCATGCTCTTTAAAATGCACAAGTTTGGTGGAAAGTGGAAGAACATGAATTTGGAGGAGGATGATCAGTTGTGTTACAATCCTATGCAGCTAGACATAAACGAGATGTTGGAAAATCTTGGTGATGACTGGTTTTTTGACATGGAAGAGGAGCTGATAGAGGTCACACCAACGGAGAGCACGCATGTTTTAGGGGAGTCTAGTTCTTCAAAGAACACAGCACCTTCGAGCAGTGAGATTAGACATTCGAATCGCCAAAGCTTTCTTAGCTCTGGTGATACATTTGGTCTTAGTCTCAAAGCTTCCTACTCTGAGCTAAATTCTTACGAAGGGTGGCCATACATGTACGCTCATCACTTTTCACTTTATAAACTACCGGTTAAGAAATTCGTTGATCACGAAGTCGAAGTGTATGCCGGTTTGTGGGGAGGAACGTTTGGCTGGCCAGCTGGGAAATGTCCTAAAAGTAAGCCCGAAAAGTCTCTTTACTTACTGATGCTCACTTATGAAGAATCTGAAGAGTATAATGAGAGAGTTCTCATTGGGACAAAAATACTCGAAGGAAAGCGCTATGTGAGGCGTCCCAATGGAACTGCAATGTTTATTGTAAATATCGATACACCTACCCTTGAGCCCTTTCCGGTGGATGCAGATGAAATAGATTTTGAGAATTCTTACTCGGGAAACGGTATCGCAGAAGGTTACGGATTCCGCTATCCCGGTTCAAAACCTGGTTCCCTTTTCGTGATCACTAATGATCTTCTTGCATTCGTTTGGCAAGAAACCAAAGATGTGATTACGTTGCAAAGACTAAACCTTGCAGAGATCTTGAAGAAGGGTTTGGGTTCTTGTGTGCCGCCTTTGCCTCCTACGAAGAATTTTACTTATATGAGAAGGTCCTACATAAACGAGTTTACCAAGTCATCGACCGATCCGTCTTACTCCGACGAGTAAAGAACATTGTAGGAAACACATCAATGTTTTGATTGAAACCACTCAAAACTCTCATATCTTGTCTTATTTTTGAGATACAATCTCAAAATTAAATGTACTGTGACGTCATTTGCTTTTCACAAATTACAATTATCCTATACTCAATATGCTTGTAACGTGTGTGTAATTTACTAGTAATACAAACTATGTATTGTATCAAACGTGCTGGTACCTCCTAAATTGTCATCTTACTATCCGACCACTATCAGCATAAAGAAGTCATACAAAAACAAAACTAATACTCCCTCCGTTTCATAATATAAGTCGTTTTAGGTAAAAACACGCCGATTAAGAAGATCTATTTTTTAAAAGTTCAACCAATCATAAAAGAGACTGCATAATATAAATAATCATAAAATATTAAAATAATACTCCCTCCGTTTCAGTTTAGTTGTCGGTTTAGGATTAAAATTTTGTTTCATAATAGTTGTCGTTTTAGGTTTTCAATGCAAATGTTTGGTGAAAATTAATGTTTTGTCATTAATGTTTTAGTGTTTTGACCAATGAAAAAATTATAAAATATATTAATAAAGGGTAAAACAAAAAATTTAATGATTTTCTTAATTTGTGTGCAAAAACCTTAAACGACAACTAAAACGAAACGGAGGGAGTATATAATTTGCATCGAAACTCGAAAACGACTTATATTGTGAAACAAAATACTTTATCCAAAACGTCTTATATTATGAAACGGAGGGAGTAAAACTTAGACCTGTCAAAACCCGTTCAATATCCTATTCAGTTTTAGACAATTATTAAACACTATAAATCTTCCACTATCATAATTTTGAAACCACTTGAGAAATTCCATGTATTGTAGTTTAAAATTTTAAAACCACTTGAGAAACTACATTTAACTAAGTGGTTAAACAATTTTCAAACACTTAGTCGCCTCCAAAAATTTAAATTTTCTCAGGAAAAAATCCACTTACGGAAGAATTTTCGTCACATGTCGCCTTCTTGCCTTTCTTGTTATGTTGAAGATTTCAACTTTTTTCTTGTGTAATCTAAAACCACTCGTGTTCTGCTTTATGATCTTCAAGAAAACTCTATAACCTTGTTACCATATTGATGGGCTATTGAAAAGTTCGATTCTTTTGCCATCTGATTGATCAAACCTAAACCAGAATCCCAAAGGCTGCGTTTCTTGTTTTCAAAGTCTGAATGTGGTAAGGCCGTTGCTAGTTTACTCTTTGATTTTTTAGTACTAATTATTTTGTAAAAAAGCAAAAAAAGTAAAAAAAAAAAAATGTCATAATTATTTTGTAAGTTTGTGGGCTTAATTACGTTCGGTGATTTTATTGCTCTTTGGACCTTTTAGTACATGATGAACAAGGAATCGTTTGGTGCTTGCTTGCTTCTTACGCTTCCCCAATATGTGTTTGCTGTTATCTCACGTTTTCTTTCTCCAAGCGACATTTGCAATCTGATCTTGTGCGGTAAAAGTATTTGTGCCCTTGTCCATTCCGACAAGACATGGCTTGTGCAATGTGAAGTCGTAAAGGTTATTCCTTTGTTTGAAATAGTCCAATGGCGAATCGGGATCTCTTCTTACAAGGCGCTTTGTAGGTTTCTTGTAGAGGTGGTGAAGCCGCTTGTTGGGATTTGGGTTCAAAAGAACCCTGAACGTGGGAATGTCGTTTATGTGATGCCTGGTTTCTTGTCTGTTGTTGGATGCCGGATAATTCCTCAAGAAGTTGGTCCTTTGTGGATTCAAGAAGGACAAATTGTGTGGTCACCAGTGTTTGAGATAATCTGCGGTGTTGATGGCTCTAACGGTTTTTTCCTCCATGGAAGAGACGAAGAAGGCAGTTGTTTGTACCCTGGTTTCGTTATGGGCATCGAGAAGAGTTGCAATGAGCTTCTACTCGAAGTTGAGCCGAGGCAAGAGAAGAGTTCGTCTAATGAGATTGAGAGAAAAGACTCAAGAAAAGAGTTATCGGGGAAAATAAATGAGGGAGGGGTTCCATTTGGAAATCTAGGCTTTAGTGATAGAAGGAGCTTACTTGATATAGTGGCAAACCATGTAAGTCTACGTGTCGGTGAACCATTAAGAGGAAAGTTATTTCCCACCAGGTCGAAAGATGATGACGAAGCGATGATGTTGGAACGCAGAACCATGCTCCTTAAAATGCTCAAATTTGGTGGGAACTGGAAGCACATGAATTTGGAGGAGGATGATCAGCTATATTATAATCCTATGCAGGTAGACATAAATGAGATATGGGAAAATCTCGGTGATAACACTGACATCATGGACGATAGAGAGTATCAGAGAGAGGCTACACCAAGGAAGAAGAGCTTTAGCATGTTTTTCATAAGTGGCATCATGCATATTCTTGGGAAGTCTAGTCCTGAAGAGAACACGCCGCGGCCTTCGAGCAGTGAGATTAGACGTTCGAATCGCCAAACCTTTCTTAGCTCTGGTGATACATTCGGCCTTAGTCTCAAAGCTTCCTACACTGAGATGTCTTCTTACCAAGGGTGGCCAATCATGTCCCAAAACCGCTTTTCCCTTCATAAACTACCAATGAAGAATCCCATCAATAATCAAGAGTATGCCGGTTTGTGGGGAGGAACGTTTGGCTGGCCACCTGAGCAATGTCGAGAAGATAAGTCCAGAAAGGCTCTATTCTTACTGATGCTCACTTATAAAGAATCTGAGGAGAATAGTGAGAGAGTTCTCATTGGGACGAAAATACTTGAAGGGGGCCTTGTGAGGCGTCCCAATGGATCCGTGTTGAGGATTCTTCGCCGACCTTAGACAGCCCTCAAGCTTTATGCTATGTCACACACACACCAAACATCATAACAGACCAAGCAATATAGAGAGAAAGAAGAAGATAAAACAGAGCAGAGAAGAGGGAAGAAGAGAAGCACACAAACGATTGTTCACCCTGAGTTCACCAAGTTGGCTACATCTCAGGGGAGGGAGACTGTCCCCCAACTGCATCCACTAATAGAAGAAGATAACAGAGATTACAAGTGATTCACTCTCAAGACTCACTCGTCGGCCACTCTCTGTTCTACTTGAGAAAATCCCACCCAAAGCTTAAGCCTTTACATGTTTTCTCTCACCCTTCTATCTCCTAGAGCTACATTGTGTCTATCTTCTTGTGGCTTCCTATCTCTCATGTCTTCATATCACTTTATATATGGGAGACAACCTCAAACCCTAGTGCGCTAGCAAACGAGTCCTCATCTTATTCACAAGAGGACAAAGTATCCTTCTTGACCATGAATTCAAATGATCCTCCTTGTGGTCCCAAAAGCTCTTCTAACTTTAGTTAATATAATCAACCTTGGTTAGGACTTGAGTTTACCTTTGGTTTGCACATGATCCTTGTTTGGTTGCTCATCAAGTTCTCATATCTTCACAAATCTCCACCTGAGAACATGATGATCAAAACCAAGCAACCTGCACAAACTTGAGAGAGTATCTTCTTCTACTTTCTTGGATCCCAATCTCGGCTCTTGAGTATCATTACTCTGCCTTGATACTTAGCAGTTTAAAATGCCATAAACTTGCTTGATCCTCGCTGCATTTAGCTTACGTTCAATGCACTTCAGCTGTGACTACTCACATTGCTGAACCTGAGCCATCAACACATCCTTAGATCACTAGAGTTGTGAAAACCAGCTTCATACAAACTTGTATTAAGCTCAACTCTTCAGTGATCACTTCATGATACATTCAACACTTGAATTATGATGTTACCACTCAGCAAAAATTTATTAACAAGTCAAGAAAACACCTCCAGCTTGTCAATCTCAACAGAAAACTCCATAAGCTCCACCACCTATGAGCTGTTCAATCACACATTCTCCACCACGGCTTCTGTTAATGCCATAAGCATGTTACAGTGATTGAAGTACCACTTATCCCTCTGCAAAACCTGATTCCCTTGCTAAAGCTTCTAGGATTTACTCATGCGCATTGAGATTAAAATCCTTTGAATTCACTTGAATCAATTGCAGAAAACTGAATCAACTTAGCCTCAGACTTGAAGCTCTTGATTCACCAGGTGAACAGCCTCACCAACCAGCTAAATATACACTATATAGCTATAGACTGAACCTTTCACCTCCTGTTTAAACAACCCAGTCTTGAACATAAACCTTGATCAAACTCTCTGTTAAAACAGAACCACCACCAGCAGATTTTAACCACTACTAGTTATCTTTACACCTGTCTCATATCAGCAAAACCTTGTGATATCCCTGAGACAAACATGTACAACTACTTCTGCACCAAATCTAGAACCCTTGGTGCCCTTCCAGCTGTAACCACAGACCTGCAAAACCTGCAGAACTCCACCAAACGACTTGAACCTTACCTCATTCAATTTCAAGACTTAAGCCAAAGCCTTTCCCTTCTTTATCATCAATACTTGAAGATACTTTACTTGAATGACCTGCAAGCGTCTGGTCAAATGCAATTTGAATTTCCTGCATTTGCGTCTCTTCTAAGACTCCATTTCAGTTGCTAACACCAGCCTTGAGATGAGTTGTTTATCAAGCTTGATACACAACACTTTCACAGTCTTGAAGTGAATAGCCTTGAGACAGCCCCTGCAACACTTGCAATTGTCTCTTTCAGTTTCCTCCTTAGATAATTCCCCTGAACCACTTCATTTTCTTCATCTCACACCTTAGTGTCTTCTCTGAAATTTTCAGAAAAAAACCTGCAACTCACTTTCAGAAAATCCGCAGTTCACAACTTGAAACCTGCAACTTGTTTCTGAAATCCTTACCAATCAGCCAGCTTCAAACCAAATATGTAAGACCCTTTTTTTACCTTCAGATTATAACCCAATCTGAGCTGAACACCTGTTGATAACCACCTGTTCTTGGCTTTCCCTTCTTCTTGATACAATGAACTTCCATGAACCTTAAACAACAGTGATATCCAGCCTTTTAACTCCATGCTACTGAGCTAAACACCCAGACAACCTCCACAAATAGCTCCACCAGGAACCATAACCATTTGAGTTACAATGTCTATGTAAGCTCAGCCTCACTTCTCTGAGTTAAACTGTTCTTCACTGTTCTTCTGTTCACTCACACTTTCTTATGTATTAGAGTGAGTTCCCATGGCCTCTTTCTTGAGAAAACCGTACTATAACTTGTAGCACATCTTCTTCTTCATGTAACCACTCCATCTTATTCATATGTACCCAAAGAACCACCAAGAACCTTCTTTTATTTCCAGCAGCCTTGTCATCTCTACTTGGAGCATTCTTCATAATCTAATAGTGCAACAACTTAAGCTGATACGCCATCAAATCATACCTCCATCCCAGAAAACCAAATCTTGTACTCTTCTTTAGCAAAATCAACATATACTTATCTTGCATCGCTGTTCAAATGAATAGAACACGCCGCCTAACTCTCCTAGCTAGGAAGAATTTCGACACGAGAAAATAATACGGTCAATTGCGTACCATCATATACTTCTTTTGTCGCTTGAAGATCTGATTCAAAACACAAGATAACCACTGAGAATTAAATGCTCCACCCGAGATAAGAACTCCTTGTTCTCTTACATTCATTCCAACAGAATCATCATGTGTTATACCAAACACAAATCTGTAGAATTTATGAATCTTTGCTACTGCCATCTTGTCTCGAAAACAAGAACTCTTACGCTATCCAGCTTACACCAAACAGTAGATTTCCGGAGCCACACTGCATTCCCTCTGAAAATAGCAGCCTTGTAGCTTCACGATCTCTAAAGATCCACCAACTGAAGACTTTTAGATTCACAAGAATCTAACCATTACCACTGAGACAGAACTCTGCAACAAATCATCACCCAAACTCAACCAACCACTGAAGTCTTGTCTTTAGAACTGAATCCAGAAAACCCTTTTACAAATACCCCACAGCCTAATACTCATAAAAATTTCCAAGCTTCTAAGGCGTCCCTCAGTCCCATGGAATTCTATGAGTTTCCGAGGCTGTGGTAACACTAGTATTCGAATACCAACTGTAAAAGACTGTACCAACCAGATTCAAAACTCCCTGAAAAAACCAGCATGAAACCCAATACTGAATCTTTTCAATCTCTTGCGATAACAGTGGAACGAGACTTGAAGCCTCCAAATTTTGAGTCTTGAGAAATAAGAATGATTCTGATCCAAAGATTGTAGTCAAAGAAATCCGACTTACACGTTTCAAGGATCTTAATCAAACTTCAGCCGATGATGTTACTGTCTCTCTTCCTTTCCAAACAAGAGTAAACGAAGACACAAACTTGTGGCATCGTCTTTCTTACTCACTGTAACCTCCAATTTCTTTACAGAAAATCAGAATTTCTGGATTTACCGGAAGATATCCGAGCCTTGCAAGCTCCAGTCTTCAAATTTCTTTAGCTAATTTGAGCTCCTTTCTTCTCGAGAACACTTTCTTCTTCAATCGTCACTTCCTCCTCCGACGAGAATCTCGATATGGTTTACCGATCCATCTTCGACTTCATCGCCGAACCTAATCGCTCCCAGTCATAAAACCTCAACTTACGATTTGACGATTGCTTATGTCGTGACTGTCTCTTAGCTTCAGCTTCAACACTTCCGAGAAAGAAGCATCAAGAGAAACGTACCATTGTTTCTCTTTCTGACTTTTGGGCATTTATGAACTTAGCCCAAAAAACAAAATATTCATTAATGGGAGGACAGGCCCATCTTGGCCCAACTGAAGAAAGAAAAAAGAATTTGTCGTGACCCATCTTTTCTCTTCTTCTCACCGTCGCTCACCATCAAACTTTCTCCGGCGAGAATCTCGGTGCTCTCCGGTGACGCCTTGGTCACCACACCTCCGCGACTCTCTCTCACCGCGTGTCTCTTCTATTGGAGATGGTTTGATCCGGTTAACTCTGGTTAACTTGGTATTGGTTTAATGTCGATTATTAAGTTGTATATATAAGCTTAAGATTACAGTTTTATTTTTAACAAGTTTTGTAACAAACTCTGTTTTTAGACTGTTGAATAAAGATTCTCTTTGACTCCGATTCTTCTTTGCTCGTGTTCATCTTCTCCGATTCACCGGAGTTAATATGGTATCAGAGCTTATCAACGAAGCTTCCGCAATCTTCGTCGGAGCTGAATCTTCCAGTCCTTGTTTGTTTTCTTTCTGATTCTTGCGTTTTGCAAATTGTTCATCGGATCTTCATTTTGAATCTGATTTCTTCTTTTCTTTCTTTCTTTGACCTCCTGTGTTGACGAATTTTGATTTTCTTTCACTGATTTCGTCTCACATTTCTTGACTCTTATGCAAATTATGAGTTCTTGTGGTAATACTGCGATTCCGATGACTTTCCGTCCATCATCAAGTATTCCGACTGATTCGATGTGTTATCCAACAGATCAATACGAAAATCCATATCATCTACACAGGAATGACCACGCAGGTTTGGTTTTAGTCTCTGATAGACTTAATACTGCTTCAGAGTTTCATTCATGGCGTAGATCTGTTTGGATGGCTTTGAATGTTAGAAATAAGTTGGGATTTATAGATGGAACGATTGTGAAACCAGCGAGTGATCATAGGGATTTTGGTGCTTGGTCACGTTGTAATGATACAGTGGCTACTTGGTTAATGAACTCAGTTTCCAAGAAGATTGGACAGAGTTTACTCTTTATCCCTACTGCTGAAGGAATTTGGAAGAATTTGTTGTCTAGGTTTAAGCAAGATGATGCGCCTAGGGTGTATGATATAGAACAAAGACTCAGTAAGATTGAGCAAGGTTCTATGGACATTTGTGCTTATTATACAGAATTGCAAACCTTATGGGAAGAGCATAAGAACTATGTTGATCTTCCGGTTTGCACATGTGGTAAATGTGAATGTGATGCTGCAGTGAAGTGGGAGAAACTACAGCAGCGAAGTCATGTTACTAAGTTTCTAATGGGTTTGAATGAGAGTTATGAGCAGACTCGTCGTCATATTTTGATGTTAAAGCCAATTCCTACATTAGAGGAGGCTTTCAATATTGTGACACAAGATGAAAGACAAAAGTCAATCCGTCCTTCTTCTAAAGTTGACAATGTGGCTTTTCAGACGATTGCTTATGGTACTGAAGCTCCTGTGATGGAGAATGGAGATATGGGATATATTGCAGCATATAACACTGCAAGACCAGCTCAGAAACCAATCTGTACTAATTGTGGAAAGACAGGGCATACAGTTCAAAAGTGCTTCAAGATACATGGTTATCCTCCGGGTTATAAGATTCCTACTACTTATAGGAATGCTCCTCAACAGTTTCAACCAAGGATGCAAATGTCACCTTATCAACCCCGGATGCAACAACCACTTGTAGCTCAAATGCAAATGACACAACCTCAGATGTTCATGCCTCAGTCTCAGTTACAGATGGTGCCTTATTCTAATGCAATGCAGTCTGCAAATGCAGCTTACTCTGAAGCTGGATCTTATATTCCTATGTTGCCACATGTTACTAGTGGGGGAAATAATCTCAATTTGCAGGATCTTACACAAGATCAGATACAAAATCTTATTTCACAATTCAATACTCAAGTTAGGATTCCAGAGCCTGCAGCTACTTCTACTGGTGCTTCTAGTTCTACTGCGACTATCACAGAGCATGGTCTTATGGCTCAGGCTTCTACTTCTGGTACTATTCCTTTTCCTTCCACAAGTCTTAGGTATGAGAATAATAATCTCACTTTTCAAAATCTTACTCTTTCATCTATACAAAATTTTTTGCCAAGTGATGCTTGGATAATAGATAGTGGTGCTTCTAGTCATGTCTGTTCAGATTTAGCAATGTTTAGAGAATTGATACCTGTGACTGGTGTAACTGTAACTTTACCAAATGGTACTAGGGTTGCTATCACACACACAGGAACCATATGCATCACTACAACACTCATTTTATATAATGTCTTGCATGTACCTGATTTTAAATTCAATTTGATTAGTGTTAGTTGTCTTGCTAAAACTTTGCTTTGTTCTGCTCATTTCTTTCCTAATTGTTGTTATATCCAGGAACTTTCTCAGGGCTTGATGATTGGGAGGGGTAAACTCTACAACAACTTATATATTCTTGAAACACAGAATATATCCCTCTCACCATCATTACCTAAAGCTAGTTCTTTCTCTGGATCTGTTGTAGCTGATAGTCTCATTTGGCATCAAAGACTTGGTCATCCGTCTTCTCCTGCATTAAAGAAACTTGTCAGTATCATTCCTTCTTTAAAAACAGTGTCTCCTGATGTTTTACATTGTTCAGTGTGTCCATTAGCAAAACAGAAAAGATTAGCATTTGTTTCAAATAATAATCTAGCAAAGAATCCTTTTGATCTTGTTCATTTAGACATATGGGGTCCTTTTAGTGTTGAGTCTGTAGAAGGTTTTCGTTATTTCTTAACTCTTGTTGATGATTGTACTCGGATTACATGGGTTTATATGCTGAGAAATAAAAGTGAAGTTGTTACTGTTTTTCCAGTGTTCATGAAACTCATTTCTACACAATATAATGCCAAAATTAAAGCCATTCGTTCTGATAATGCTCCTGAATTAGCTTTTACAAATATTATTAAAGAACATGGCATGATTCATCAATTTTCTTGTTCTTATACTCCTCAACAGAATTCTGTTGTTGAGCGCAAGCATCAACATCTATTAAATGTTGCTAGATCATTGTTATTTCAGTCAAATGTACCCTTACCTTACTGGAGTGATTGTGTTCTTACAGCTGCTCATTTGATAAATAGATTACCTTCCCCATTGTTGAAAGATAAATCTCCTTATGAGTTACTTTTAGAAAAACAACCTGATTATACTTTGCTAAAAACATTTGGTTGTCTTTGTTATACTTCTACTAATAATCATGAAAGAAACAAGTTTTCCCCAAGAGCCAAACCATGTGTTTTTCTTGGATATCCTTCTGGTTTTAAAGGATATAAAGTCTTGGATTTAGAATCTCATGCTGTTTTGATTTCTAGAAATGTGATTTTTCATGAAACTCAGTTTCCTTTCAAAACCAGTGAGTTACTTTCAAAATCAGTAGATATGTTTCCTAATAGCATTTTGCCTATGCCTGCTCCATTGCATTTTGTTGAAACATTTCCATTAGATGCTGCATTACCAGAAGATACATCATCATCATCTGCATCATCTGCACATATAGCACCTAGTACTGATAATAATGAACAAAATGCAGCTACACCAGATACGGATATCTCTTCTGTACCTATTGCTAGGCCTAAACGGGTTACTAAAGCTCCCGTATACTTATCTGAGTATCATTGTTCCCTTGTTCCTTCTATTTCTTTTTTACCACCTGATACTTCTTCCACATTAAATACCACTACACAAAATAATCATATCCTATCTACTTCTTCTTCTTCCATACCACTTAAAAGAACCACTCCACATCCTATTACCACTACTATTTCATATGATAAGCTTACTCCTCTTTTCAATTCATACATATGTACTTATAATCTAGAGACTGAGCCTAAGACCTTTGCACAAGCTATGAAATCAGAAAAATGGACTAAAGCAGCAAATGAGGAGCTTCAGGCTCTTGAACTTAATAAGACTTGGGTTGTGGAATCTTTACCTGAGGGTAAGAATGTTGTGGGTTGTAAATGGGTATTCACAATAAAATATAACCCAGATGGAAGTGTGGAAAGGTATAAAGCAAGGTTAGTTGCTCAGGGTTTTACTCAACAAGAAGGTATTGACTATATGGATACTTTCTCACCTGTTGCAAAGCTTGCTAGTGTGAAGTTATTACTTGGACTTGCAGCTGCAAAAGGGTGGAGTTTGACACAGATGGATGTATCTAATGCATTCTTACATGGTGAACTTGATGAGGAAATTTATATGCGCTTGCCTCAAGGATATACACCACCAACAGATACTGTTTTGCCATCTCAACCGGTATGTCGTCTTTTGAAATCTCTTTATGGCCTTAAACAAGCATCTAGACAATGGTATAAGAGGTTTTCTTCAGTTCTGTTGGGAGCAAACTATGTACAATCACCTGCGGATAATACTATGTTTGTGAGAATGACTTCAGATAGTTTTGTTGCTGTGCTAGTCTATGTTGATGACTTAATGATTGCCAGTAACAATGACAAGGCTGTTGAACAGTTAAAAGAACTTTTGAGATCAGAGTTCAAAATTAAAGATTTAGGACCTGCTAGATTCTTTTTAGGATTGGAAATAGCTAGGTCTTCTGAAGGAATCTCACTGTGTCAAAGAAAGTATGCTCAGAATCTCTTGGAGGATGCAGGATTACTTGATTGTAAACCAAGTTCAGTACCAATGGATCCAACTCTGCATCTAACTAAAGAGATGGGTACTTTGTTACCAAATCCTACTATATACAGAGGTGTTATTGGACGTCTTCTGTATTTATGCATCACCAGACCAGATATTACATATGCAGTGAACTCTCTGAGTCAGTTTCTTTCAGCACCAACGGATATTCATCTTCAAGCTGCATATAAAGTGTTACGATACATAAAGGCTAATCCTGGTCAAGGATTGATGTATCCTGCAGATAATGAATTGTGTTTGAATGGTTTTGCTGATGCTGACTGGGGAACATGCAAAGATAGTAGAAGATCTGTGACAGGATTCTGTGTTTATCTTGGTAATTCACTGATTTCTTGGAAATCAAAGAAACAGAATGTGGTCAGTAGAAGCAGTACTGAAGCAGAGTACAGGAGTCTTGCACAGGCTACTTGTGAGCTTATTTGGTTGCAGCAATTACTGAAGGACTTACATATCTCGGTTACTTGTCCTGCAAAGTTGTTCTGCGACAACAAATCGGCTCTTCATTTGGCAATGAATCCAGTGTTCCATGAGCGTACCAAACATATAGAGATCGATTGTCATACAGTGAGGGATCAAATTAAAGCTGGAAAACTGAAGACATTACATGTTCCTACTGGCAATCAACTTGCAGATATTCTAACCAAGCCTCTTCATCCAGGACCATTCCATGGTTTGATCAAGAAAATGTCTCTGTCAAGTCTATATCTTCCAAACCAGACACTTAGAAGATAAAGACTTGAGGGGGGTGTATTGGAGATGGTTTGATCCGGTTAACTCTGGTTAACTTGGTATTGGTTTAATGTCGATTATTAAGTTGTATATATAAGCTTAAGATTACAGTTTTATTTTTAACAAGTTTTGTAACAAACTCTGTTTTTAGACTGTTGAATAAAGATTCTCTTTGACTCCGATTCTTCTTTGCTCGTGTTCATCTTCTCCGATTCACCGGAGTTAATATCTTCCTCGACAGCGAAACCCGAAGCTTCTTCTCCGACTCGTTCTGCTTATGACAGCGCCGTCTGCTCTTTCACGACGTCATCGGAAGCTCGAGCCACTCCACCGGAATCTCAGCCTTCTCCGGTAAGAATCTCCACACTGTCTCTGTCATCGAACTCTCTGAGAATCACCTGAGCTCGTGACAAACATCCTCTGTTAACATCCGAGATTTCAACAGAAATCTCTATCTTCCTCCATCTTCTTCTCTCAATGCTTCAGCAGATCTAGTTCTTCTTAGATGGACAAGACACGCCGTCTTCTTATGAGATATAATCTCTAAATCCATCGTTCTTCTCTAGAGCTGCACTTCCCGAAGCCATTGCTTATAAAGGTGTGATCTTTCTTGACAAAGCTTACATTTTCCTTGTAAAGCTTGAATCTTTCTCACCGAAACTTGAAGATTCTGGATAAAGCTTGAGTCTTTCAGCACTAACCTGTGCTCTGATACCATTTGTTGAGGATTCTTCGCCGACCTTAGACAGCCCTCAAGCTTTATGCTATGTCACACACACACCAAACATCATAACAGACCAAGCAATATAGAGAGAAAGAAGAAGATAAAACAGAGCAGAGAAGAGGGAAGAAGAGAAGCACACAAACGATTGTTCACCCTGAGTTCACCAAGTTGGCTACATCTCAGGGGAGGGAGACTGTCCCCCAACTGCATCCACTAATAGAAGAAGATAACAGAGATTACAAGTGATTCACTCTCAAGACTCACTCGTCGGCCACTCTCTGTTCTACTTGAGAAAATCCCACCCAAAGCTTAAGCCTTTACATGTTTTCTCTCACCCTTCTATCTCCTAGAGCTACATTGTGTCTATCTTCTTGTGGCTTCCTATCTCTCATGTCTTCATATCACTTTATATATGGGAGACAACCTCAAACCCTAGTGCGCTAGCAAACGAGTCCTCATCTTATTCACAAGAGGACAAAGTATCCTTCTTGACCATGAATTCAAATGATCCTCCTTGTGGTCCCAAAAGCTCTTCTAACTTTAGTTAATATAATCAACCTTGGTTAGGACTTGAGTTTACCTTTGGTTTGCACATGATCCTTGTTTGGTTGCTCATCAAGTTCTCATATCTTCACAATCCGCAATGTTTGTTGTAAAGATTGATAGACCTTCCTTTGAGCCCTTTCCTTTTGATGCAGTTGGAAGGGACATTAAGGATTCTTACACGGGAGACGGTATCGCAGATGGTTACGGATTCCGCTATCCGGGTTCAAAACCTGGTTCGCTTTTCGTGATCTCTAGCGATCTTCTTGCTTTCGTTTGGCAAGAAACCAAAAATGTGATTACATTGCAAAGACTAAACCTTGCAGAGATCTTGAAGATGGGTTTAGGTTCTTGCGTACCGCCTTTATCTCCTACGAATAATTTTACTTATATGAAAAGGTCCTTCGGAAACGTGTTTACTGAGTCATCGACAGATATTTAATCTTTTGGATTCTGATAATATTTTGAATGTATTGCGACATCATTTACATTATACATTGACAATCACTATGCTTGTAATTAATTAACGTGTGTATAAACAATGTATTGCTTTGATAAAAAAAAAATAAAAAAAAAAAAACTTGTGGAATTCTTCGATCTTTCTTTTTATTATGAGTAATCCAATCCTTGAGAGTTTAGACAACATACGAATGGAGAGTCCATATCACACTAAAACAAAATCAGCTAGACAAGGAAAATATGTTTATAAATCTACTTGAACATAGTGCGTGAATAGAACCCACACATAAGTAAACCGGGTGATAAATCAAAGCGTTTTGAGGAGAATTTCAACAAGGTTCGATCTCAACGATGAAAGAAAGATGTCAAATTGGGATTTAGTTTATGTTATAGCTGCACAAGTTGCCTACGTATCTTTGTAAAGGGATCAAGTCATTCGTAATTCATACTAAAAAAAGATTTTCAAGTTTTTGTGTGAGTTTTTCCATGTGAGATTCGATGTGTTCTCCGATGAGATTACAATTTTTAAGTTGTTAAATACAAAATTTTATTTTTTTCTAAGTAAATACAAATTTTTGTTTGCCACATGAAAAATCTCTTATTGAAATATAGGTACAATTTTCTTATAATTATCTTTTTACATTTAAAACTGTTTAAATTATAATTTTCTTCTAAACATCTTTTCTTTTTAAATTTTTAAAAGAAAATATGTATTTGACACATGGCAAAATCACAAATCGATAGGTTTGACACGTTTTATGACCATACTTTATATAATAAGATATTTGAAATATTCTTTAATGGTTTTGTATGTGATTTTCAACAAATTTAGGACAACACTCTAATTTTAGAACCAACATATGGTCAATCTTATATTTTAAATTCTTAAATTTTATAGATACAAATAGTATACTTTTTATGTTTAAATTTTTCCGTTACAATTGCACAACAATATTATGTAATAGCTTACCACACACGCAACACAAATTATTTAGTATATATATAGGGTATACTTTGATGTTGTATGGGTTCATTGCAACACAGAAAAAAACACTTGCGGAAGTCCGGGAAAGGTAGAATGGTGTGGGTGGGGTTATTTTCAGAAAACATTTTGATGCTCAAATCAGTCAAATAGATACAAGTCTTTGTTATAAACCAAAAAAAAAAAAAAACCAAAAATGTGGTGGGAAAATGAGTAGTATACATGAGGTATGGAGTTTGAGATTGCAAATTATTATAGATTATTGAAGATAATTTTATCAGAAATCTGTAGTGTAGTGTATGTAGAGCCGTTTGTCGTGTTCTCATCTACCGTGGATCTTTATTGTGAGGGTAAAGCCATTAGTTATAGAAATTTCCAGAGAATCATCGCTCGCCATAAAAAACTATAAAATTTTACTAGTTAAAAAGGTTTAAATTGGAGCATGAAATAAATTAAAGGTCTACATCGTTATCTGTGGTTTAAATGAGCTCTTTGATTGTGAAGAGTGAGAGAACCGAAATCTTTACATGTAAAGATGATCAAAAAAATTCTTAGAAAGTGGTCGAGACTAGGTCTCGAGGTAAAGAAAAGCTCTAAAACTCCTGTCAAAACTAATATAACTTAGACCTGTCAAAACCATGACCAATGATAACTAAAACCCATGTTCTAAAAATCCCCGCCTAGCCCCGATTACTCCCCGATTAATCGCTAGGCCCACCCTATCCGCCTCGATTAATGACTAATCCCCTAAAAAATCAGTAACCCGATTATTCTCCGCCTAATCCGATTACTTCCCGCCTAATCCGATTATTTTCCACCTAATCTTATATACCCCGATTATTTTTTAGATTGCAAGTATAACAAAACTTTTTATTTTTGTTATTCAATCATTTGAATGGGGAGTTTGTGATGTTTTCCAATAACTTGTGTTCAAATTTTAATAAAAATCATAAATTTGTAATAAAAATCATAAATTTTTACAATATTGGATTAATATATTTTAAAAATATTAAAATAACCCTAAAACTAATCCCCGATTAATCCCCGATTTTAATCCGATTTTCCGATTAATCACTAGGCCCATACCGAGCGCCCGACTAGCGCCTAGCGATTTTTCAAACAAGGACTAAAACCCGTTCAACATATAACCTATTCAATTTTAGACAACTTATACACTATATAAATTTCCCACTATCATAATTTTGAAACAACTGAGAAATTCCATGTATGTTTTAAGTTTTAAACCAACTTGAGAAACTACATTTAATTAAGTGGTTAAACAATTATTAAACACTTAGTCGCCTCTAGAAATTTAATGTCTCAGGAAAAAAATCCACTTACGGAAGATTTCCTCACATGTCGCCTACTTGCCTTTCTTGTTATGTTGAAGATTTCAACTTTTTCCTTGTGTTTAAGATCCTTTAAGAAAACTCTATAACCTCTTTACCATATTGATGGGTTATTGAAAAGTTCGATTCTTGTTTTCAAAGTCTGAATTTGGCAAGGCCGTTGCTAGTTTACTCTTAAATTTGATTTTTGAGTAGCTTTCATAATTATTTTTGTTATTTTGTTGGTTTAATTACCTTCGGTGGTTTTATTTCCCATTGGACTTTTTAGTACATGATGAATAAGGAATCGTTTGGTGCTTGCTTGCTTCTTACGCTTCCCCAAGATGTTTTTGCTGTTATCTCACGCTTTCTTTCTCCAAGCGACATTTGCAATCTAATCTTGTGCGGCAAAAGTATTTGTGCCCTTGTTGATTCCGAGAAGACATGGCTTGTGCAATGTGAAGTCGTAAAGGTTATTCCTTTGTTTGAAATAGTCCAATGGCGAATCGGGATCTCTTCTTACAAGGCGCTTTGTAGGTTCCTTGTAGAGGTGGTGAAGCCTCTTGTTGGGATTTGGGTTCAACAGAACCCTGAACTTGGGAATGTCGTTTATGTGATGCCTGGTTTCTTGTCTGTTGTTGGATGCCGGATAATTCCTCAAGAAGTTGGTCCTTTGTGGATTCAAGAAGGACAACTTGTGTGGTCACCGGTGTTTGAGATAATCTGCGGTGTTGATGGCTCTAACGGGTTTTTTCTCCATGGAAGAGACAAAGAAGGCAGTTGCTTGTACCCTGGTTTTGTTATCGGCATCGAGAAGAGTTGCAATGAGCTTCTACTCGAAGTTGAGCCGAGGCAAGAGAAGAGTTTGTGCAATGAGATTGAGAAAGAAGACTCAAGAAAAGAGTTATCGGGTAAAATAAGCGAGGGAGGGGTTCCATTTGGAAATCTAGACTTTAGTGATAGAAGGAACTTACTTGATATAGTGACAAACCATGTAAGTCTACGAGTAGGTGAACCATTAAGAGGAATGTTATTTCCCACCAGGTCCAAAGATGATGAAGCAATGATGTTTGAACGCAGAACCATGCTCCTTAAAATGCTCAAATTTGGTGGAAACTCGAAGCACCTGAAATTGGAGGAGAATGAGCAGTTGTGTTACAATCATATACAGATAGACATAAACAAACTGTGGGAAAATCTCGGTGATGACATTGACGACATGGAGGATATAGAGGAGCAGAGAGAGGTTACACCAAAGAAGAAGAGCTTTAGCAGGTTTTTTAGAAGTGGCATCAAACATATTCTTGGGAAGTCCAGTTCTTCAAAGATCAAGCCGCCTTCGAGCAGTGAGATTAGACGTTCGAATCGCCAAAGCTTTCTTAGCTCTGGTGATACATTTGGCCTTAGTCTCAAAGCTTCATGCACTTGGGTGTCTTTTTACGAAGGGTGGCCAATCATGTGCGCAAACAGCTTTTCCCTTTATAAACTACCAATGAAGAATCCCATCGATAATCAAGAGTATGCCGGTTTGTGGGGAGGAACGTTTGGCTGGCCACCTGGGAAATATATTGAAGGTAAGGCTCTTTTCTTACTAATGCTCACTTATGGAGAATCTGAAGTGGGTAGTGAGAGAGTTCTTTTCGGGACGAAAATACTCGAAGGCTATAACTCTGCGGGGCGTCCCAATGGATCCTCAATGTTTGTTGTAAATATTGACACACCTTCCCTTGAGCCCTTTCCATTTGATACCGATGGAAGATATTTCGAGCAATCTTACATGGGAGAGGGTATCGCAGACGGTTATGGATTCCGCTATCCCGGTTCAAAACCTGGTTCCCTTTTTGTAATCTCTAATGGTCTTCTTGCATTTGTTGGCAAGAGACCAAAGATGTGATTACATTGCAAAGAGTAAACCTTGCAGAGATCTTGAAGAAGGGTTTAGGTTCTTGCGTTCCTCCTTTGCGTCCAACTAAAAATTTTACATATACTGAAAGGTCTTACACAAACGTGTTTACCAAGTCATCGACCTATTCGTCTTCCTCCGAGTAAAGAATATCGTAGGAGGAAACACATCAATGTTGGAAATGGAACACTGCAACAGATTTAAAGCTCTCCCATATCTAGTTCTTGAGATAATAATTGACCGTTGTGTTGTGACATCATTTACTTCTTACTCTTACACTCACTATGCTTGTAATGTGTGTTTTTACCAAACAATGCGTGTAATTCATTTATCCTTGTATGGTTTATTTTACTTTGCAATACATTTACACTTGATCAATATTTTGAGTTTGTGTAATAGTCCAACACATATATGTAGTTTGTGTAATAGTTCCAACACATCAATGTAGCTTTGATACTGAATCCAAACAGTAAAAAGTACACCAACGTAGTTCCTTTAGCAATATATGTTTTATATTTAGTAACTATAGAGACACACGTAGCATATTGAGTGTAAATATCAGTGATCTCCGATAATGAGATTATTATATTGGAAACAGAGAGGACTTGTGAGCTTCAAATATGTTGCAGGAATCTCCTACGATCTTCTTCGTTCAGGGGCAAACACATTGGTGTGAGATTTTGTCAAATAAGCAAAATTCAAACATGGAGGTAAAGGCGATACACACACGCCTTTCCTTAAGAGCTCTCCAAGGTCAAGTCTTTGCAATGTCAACACAACTTTAGTTGCTTTCCAAACAAACATGAGAAGACCTTTAGATGTTACGAAAAGTGTACCCGGTTTGTAACCAGGATACCGGAAACCATAACCCTTTGCAGTACCTTCTCCTGCGTAAGAATGCTCAAAATCTTCTCCATTTGTATCGAAAGGAAAAAGCTCAAAGGAAGGTGAATCAATCTTTATAACAAACATTGCAGATCCATTAGGATGCATCGCGTAGTGAGTTCCTTCGAGTATTTTCGTCCCTATAAGAAGTCTCTCAGTACCATCTTGAGATTCTTCATAAGAGAGCATCAGTAAAAAAAGAGCCTTCCCGGGTTTATCTTCTGTACATTTTCCTGGTGGCCAGCCAAAAGTTCCTCCCCACAAGCCGGCATACTCTTCGTTAGCGATGGGATTCTTAATCGGTAGCTTATAAAGGGCATAACGGGTTTCGTCCATGTTTGGCCAACCTTGATAAGAAGACAGCTTAATATTGGAAGCTTTGAGACTAAGACCTATGGAATCACCAAAATTAAGAAATTTTTGGAGATTCCAAGGTCTAGTATCACTTCTTGAAGAAGACGTGTTCTTTAAAGAACTAGACCTCCCGAGAATATGCTTTATGCCACTTCTGAAATACCTACTAAAGGTCTTCCTTTGTGTCTGATTCCCAGCGTCCATGTTGCGATTATCGACTTCAAATCCAAGATGCTTCCACGATTCGTTTATGTCTACCTGATTTGGAATATTTATACACTCATCCTCCAGGTTCATGTGATTCCAATCACCACCAAACTTGTGCATTTTAAGGAGCATGGTTCTGTGTTCAGACAACACCGCTTCATCATCTTTCGACGTGGGAAATAACCTTTCACTTGATAGATCAGGTACAGGTATACCAACAGTGCTTGTCACTATGTGAAGTAAATTCCTTCTATAACTAAAGGGTAGTTTGCGAAATGGTAACTGAACCCCTGTCTCTCCCAACAACACAGTCTCAATCTCACTGCATAACTCCTTCTCTCGCCTAGTCTCAACCTCGAGTAAAAGCACATTACAACTCTTCTCAATGCCCATAACAAAACCAGGATGCAGGCAGCAATGTAGTTTTCCGTCTCTTCCATGGAGGAAAAACTTGGCAGAGCCATCAAAACCGCAGATTATCTCAAACACGGGTGACCACATAACTCGAGCCTCCTCAATCCCCAAAGGACCAACCTCTTGTGGAATTATCCGACACCCAACAACAGACAAAAAACCAGGCATTACATAAACAACATTCCCAAGCTCAGGGTTTTGGTGAACCCAAACACCAACAAGAGGCTTCATTACCTCTCCAAGAAACCGACAAAACGCCTTATAAGAAGAGATTCCGATTCGCCATTGGATCATTTCAGATAAAGAAAGAACCTTTACTACTTCACATTGCACAAGCCAGATCCTTTCTGAATCAAAAACCTCACAAAGACTTTTGCAGCATAAGCTTAGATTGCAAATGTCTCTTGGAGATACAAAACGAGCTATAACAGCAATTACATCTTCTGGAAGAGACAGAAGCAAGCAAGCACCAAATGATTCCGACCCTAAATCGCCATTCTTCCTCATCTAACACAAATCAAATCGGCAACAAAATCACTAAAGCTAAACACGCAAATTTGATAAAGCTGAAAAAGGTTTTACCTGATTCATACTATGAAGATCAAAAACGCAGCTTTGGGGGGTTTGAATCAGATCGCTTTAACGTGAACAAGAATCAAACTTTTCAATTACCCATCAAAGTAGAACTCGATCCGAATTAAATTGTGGAAGAAAAATGAGGAAATCACTAACTAAGAAGACGATGTGAGAGAGACATTGGTCTTTAAGTTGACTACACTGTTGAAGTCTTTTTAGTGTTTCTTTCACTAAATAATAAAAACTTGAGGGACTAGTTTGAAAAAATAGAATAATTTGCTAAAAGGTACTTTTCTCCAAAATATTTGGGCCTTTAAATGGATAGATAGAGGCCCATTTATAAAAGATAAGCCCACAAAAATGGTTTTGATTTCGTCAAAGTTAATCAACTTTTTTCTCTTCTTTTTTCCCGTCAAAAGTTCATTAATTAATTCACAAAAGCTAATTTTTTTCTTTCGATGAAGACAAAAATCTAATGTTACGGTTTAGTTTTCTTTGCAATTAAAAAAATAGAAGAATTATCGTACGTTACTTACCATTCACATAAATGAAATGTAACGAAACGAAACATAAGTTGTTTATATATATATAAAAAAACGTACGTTACCATTTTTCAACATTACTTTTTTGGATTTATTTATCTGTTGACGTTACACTTCTGACGATACTCGAGTGTTTTTGAGTCAAACACACTAAACGAAATTGCATAGTCCAACACAAACTAATGACATACTGACAAAAAGATATGTAAGACAACCTCACTCATTGTATATATATCTCAGCCAGTGGAGTTTTGCTCTAATCAAATTAATAGAGTCAACGTAACGGATTAATATGTAACTAAAGTCTAAAACCTGTGGATTTTCATAGATTTAAACACAAGGAAACACCTATGTCAAAGACTCAAAACGCCGATTTCAAAACAATAAACAAACCAAAAAAGAATATAAGGAAAGAAAGAGGTTATAAATCGATTCAAAATTTCAAAATTACAAAGCATACAAAAGATGAATTTACCATTTATAAAGAAAAGAAAAAGATATACTGAAATTTTGTATGTTTGCAAAATAAATCATAGATTTTGAATTATACCTTCTGTTCACGTATTTATCAAAATAACAAATGTGGCTATTCTACAAAAGATCTTGTTAGTAACGGCTAATTTATTCCTGATGCCATAATAGCTTAATTGTGAGCTTTAAATCTGTTACAAATGTCTTATATATGATTTTTCATGCACAAAAATAAATAGAAAAGATATTTTATTATTGTTCTAATAATAATTCAAAAAAATTCTTTGACAAACAAAAGATAATAATTCAAAAATTTCCTGTAAAATCCCAAGTTTAAAATAATTCAAAATAGTCCTTTTTTAGAAAATAATAAAAAAAAACTACATAGAAATTTGTCAATTTTGTTAAAGACTATATTGTAAGCATTGTTTATAAAAGACTAGATAAGGCCCGCCTAAATAGGCGGATGTAAAAAATAAATATAATTTCGTATTGATAATATTTAAATTCTAAATAGTAATCTATATTTTTTATTATTTAATTTAATATTTTGTTTCAAACAAAATTTTAACCTTACACATTCTATTTTGCATACACTTTAACTATTTATTTCAACCAAATTTCAATCATATTTAAATCATACACTTTAACTATTTATTTCATAATAAAAAACTGTATTTTAATTCTACACACTCCATCTTATCGATGATATTTGAATTCTAAACAGTACCTCGTACACTTTTTTAATATTTAATTTAGTACTTTTATTGAAAAAAAATTCAAATCTTACACATTCCATTTACATTAATATACAATTTAACTATTATTTAATAATAGCAAACTGGATTTTGATTCTACACCCTTCATCTTAATGAATAAATGCTAAAACAATTATATCAAAATAATATGTATTGATGTATCAAATCTATATTTAGATAAGTTAATGAATGGTTACTTATTTATATGTAAGTTAATGATCTTATATATTTTTTTAAAATCATCTTATTTAAAAGATATTTATTTAATTTTTTTAGTTTAATTATTGTATCTTTAAATTATTTATTTTGGTTTCTACTTTCAGTTTGAATTATATAAGATTTATCATATATCATAGTTCTAATGATTTTAGATAGCGACATGTGTCATGATTTAAACTATAAATTTACATTATTTATATCAATTTTATTTTCTAATTAGAAATAGGTGATGATTTTAAATAAAGTTTTGTATTGTTTATTTGAAAGTCTTGAGTACGTAAGAACCATATATGCTTCTTCTTTATTTTTGATATTTTAAATTTAATTATACTATATTAAATTGTTTATTTAAATTTGTATGTTCATATTTGAATTATATAAGATTCATATATATATATATATATATATATATATATATATATATATATTATAATCGATCCCAACTATTTTTATGCGGTCTTTTTCCATCAGAACCCTGATATCCTGCACTTATCAACCCGAACTCACACAATATTTAAATAACAAACCTGAACTATCTGACTTTTAGCCTATTTCAACATATCCCCGTTATTAAAAAGTATACCATAAGTTATTGATATGGAATATATTTTTCTTTCGAAATAATTTTTGAATCAATAATTTTAGTAGCTAAAGAAACAATGAAACAGTGAAAGTAAATATTTTTTTCTTACTTTTGAAAGATAATTTCTACTTAAAACGTTGTTAATTAATTTTTTGTTAAATTTGATTTAAATTTTTTAAAAAATTAAACCCGTCCATCGGATGGGTCCTTTGCTAGTTTGTTTATATAGAAGTGAGTATGTAGAATAATTATCCTTTTTGAAATTATTAATTTCCTTATAATGATTTTTTACTTTTTAAAATTTAATTTTTTTTGACAATTAACTTTTAATATTTTTAAAATTAATAAAAGGAAATTATTGTTTTACATATTTCTATTCAATAAGATACATTTTTATAATAAGTATCTTATTGACATTTTTAAAATTGTTTAGTTTCCTTATAATTATCTTTTTACTTTTTAAAATTATAATTTCTTACAATTATCTTTTTATAGTTTTAAAATTAATAAAAGAAAATTTTCGTTTTACACATGTCAAAATCTGAGATCGATAAAATTGCCACATGTCACGATCTTATGAGTTATTGACTTTGAAAACCATACTTTATATAATAAGATTCATAATTACTAGTCAACGATATATGGCAATTTAATATTATTTTGTTTTGACATTGGCCCTATAAATCTAGATATTTTTCGTGACCAAATACAATATCAAGAAATATTTTTTAAAGATAAAATGCATTTTGCAAAAATTAATGCAAATAAAAATACATCTTCTTATTTTTGATAATTTCAAAGAAAAAAAATGAAGTTATCTAAAAAAAAGATAACTTAATCCAAAAATAGATCAAACATAGCAAATATGAACTCATTCTAAACATTGAAACAACAATCATCTGAAAAACATTGATGATTGAGCATTAGAGCACACCTAGCTCTGTGAGAAAATCAGCACATAGATCTAAGAAGATAAACTGATGTCCATCAACTCTCTGGATGTCCAGCAAGTACTTGCCCTCAGACCATACGCAGTGGGGTATTCGTTGGTCGAGTGTGTGTAATTAAATAATCGAAAATAAGGCAAAAGTTGTGTAGGAGTCGGAAGGCGAGTGTAAACATACACTCGGGTGTGAGGGACAGGTGTACTTTTGTGGTTGGTTCGGATTTTTGATATTGAAATATTGTTACTGCGTGTGGCTTACGCGCGAGCCAAACACATCAGAATAGTGGATCCCACATTATAGTATAGTTAAATCTAGAACATTATTTTATTAGTAAATGAACACAAACTCATATCCTCAAAGATACCCCATTGTGGGTGCTCTCACTTACTTTGTATAGCTATAACAAAAACAAATGATACAAAAATTATTTTTAATTATAATAAGATTTGTTTTTCCTATGAACTATTAATTCTAGTATATTATACTTTAATTGAAAATATATACCTGAAGTTCAAATTTGATGACAGTTGGTAAGACCATAGAACATTCATCCTCAATCATGTTAGATTCATCTTTGAGGACATTATCCTTTTGATTTTGATTCTTGTAGTTTGCAAAGCTTCGAACCCATTTGCATTTTATATTGTAGAGTCCAATCTTTTTCCAGCATATTTTTAGACTTTGAAGAGCCTTAAAAACCTCACTCATGATTTCACGAGGACTCCCTTGAGACTGTAAAAATATCAAGATGATCCATTTTAATAATATGTTTTGACTAGTTAAAGTACTAGACAAATGGAATTCGAAGAAAAGATAGCTAATGTTAAAATAATATGAGCTAAAAAGATTCAACCAACCATATACTAACCTGAAGTCCAAGGGTCCAACTTCTATTATCTTGGAATTGTGATCTTAGTCCAGTCAATGCAGGAAACGAATGTCCAACATTTGAAGCAATCTCTTGATCAATTGGAAGTATCGAATTAAATATACCATCTTTTGGGGGTGAATGAGATCTCATATGAACACCATCCTATATTTATAAGATTAACAAGAAAATATTTTTGTTAGAATAAAGTTTTTATTAAATAACCATGAAATGCTAATAGACTAATTCTGTTGAATAATTAATTTTATTTATTTTTAATCATATTTTAAACATGTATTTTATATAGAGAAGTTAATTTTCTTACACGTGAAAACTAGAGAGTTATTTTTAACGATAAAATAGAAGAATAAAATTTTCTAGACGTAAAACTTGTGAACGAGTACTAGTATACTATTTATCATCAATGTAGGAATAAAAATAAAATTCACATAGCATATATTTTCTTGTCAAATTATTGCATGTCTTTTTGGCATTTTTTATTTTTATTTAGCATTTATGTTGTAGAGAAAGGGAGTAAATAGTATACCGATATCTCTTTAAACTTGGAGTGAGAATGGTCATTAGGAACACACTTTCGATTCTGGTCGTTCAGTAGTAGATGGTATGCAACGGTAGCCTAAAACAATGTCAAAATGAAACTTTAGTAATCATTTTTGAAACTATTAAATTATAAATGTAATTATGATATGAAAACACTCATACCTCATTTTGGACTCTATTGACAAGAGATGCAACAACTTGGGTTCTATCAAATCATATGTTACCAACTTTTTGAATGATCTCTTCATCAATCTGGAAATAAATATTAATTCGAAACTTAATGAATTCATACACATGATGTTAGATTACTTCATAATACTGAAAAAGTTCTAACCTTTTTAGCTTGTT